AATAATAATAATAATAATAATAATAATAATAATAATAATAATAATAATAATAATAATAATAATAATAATAATAATATGACTTTATAGAACCAGGAACACAAAGACTATGGAATCTTCTCAAACAAAAAGAAAAACAACAAGAGGAAAAACAACGTAAAGATTTTAGAGGAATGTTTGATCGTATGAAAAAAGATGAGGAAAAGGAAAAAACTGAAAGAGATGCTTCTAATAAAACATCAGAAACAAAGCAAATTAAACCATCATCAAAATCATCACATAATGAAAAAATAAAATTAAACAAAGGCGAAAAAAGTGCCATAGAAAAACAACTGGAAGCAAAATTAAGTGAAAACGAAGAGCCCAGAATTGTAGAGCTTGATGATTAATTATCAAAATATTATTATGTTGTAGCTAAATATAAATAAATAAATATTTCGTGCATGTATGTTAATAAAACATTATATTGTAATTTAATTCGTCCACAATAAATAGTTGATTGATTGTAATTTCTTTAAGTCAGTAATAATAATTATTATTATTAGAAAAACAACATTTTTTTATTAACAAGATTAATTGTTTTTGATGAATAAATATAAATTATTTTTTTAATTAATTGTTCATCATATCATATACTTACACTTAACATAATTGAAAACCATTTAGGATTATCATTTTTTATTTGCAAGCCCAGATCTGAAATAAGCAATATCACCATCTTCAAAAATATAATCTTTTCCTTTTTGTAAATATTTACCAGATGCCTTTACTGCACTTTCTGTCCCATGTTCTTTTAAATCATCAAACTTCATAATTTCTACCAAAATAAATCCTTTCTCAAAATCACCATGAATACTATAATTATATAAATACAAATTTGATTAATAATTGTATTATATTATATAACAACATATGTAAATTAATTAATTACATACACTCCAGCAGCTTTTGGTGCTTTTGTTTGTTTCTAATTAGATATATATAAAAGAAGCAATAAATTAATGAAATGTTATAAATATAAATTCATCACACTCAAACAAATAAAAATAAAACCAAAATAATAATAATATTTACTCTAATTGTCCAAGCTCTAACTTCATCAGGACCACATGTGAAGAAATAAATTAATTGTAATGCTTGATATCCTGCAACAATGATTTTTGGTAGAGCGGATTGAATTTCTAGCTCCTTTAATAAATTATCCTTTTCTTCTTTCGTTGGTAAAAGTGAAAGACGTTGTTCAAGCGACACACTCAATGGAAGTAATGAATCTCCTGGATTATTTTCATCAATCCAAGACTTTATTTTTGGCAGCCTGATTTACAACAAAATACCATTATTATTATCATTAATGATTTTTAAAAAACCCCTATAAATTTTTCTTTAGTTTACCATTTATTTTTTTTACGAATATAATCTTTTTCACTCAAGTTTACCAAATAAATTACAGGTTTTGCAGTAAGCAAATGTAAAGAATTAATGATTTCAACCTGTTGTGAATTTCTCTGTTAATATTTACATATTATATATATTATATGAATGAAAAGTGTGTATTATATAAATCACCTCTTTATTATTCCAATTTGCTTTTCTAACATCTTTGTTATCTTGAACAGTTGTTAAAATTTTTTGTGTAATTTCCTACAAAATATTATAATATATAAAAAATCAAATATAAATAAATTTAAATATAAATAAATAAATTTATATTAATGTTATTTATTACCAATTCTTCTTTTCTAGCTTTATCAGCTGTACCTCCACCTTTTCCAATACGTGCAACATTTTTTGATAACTCTTCAACTTTTTTACCCAAAAATTCCTCATCTTTAAGACGAAGTTCATTGTGAATAATTTCCAAGTCTCTAATAGGATTAATTTCTCCTTCAACATGAATTACATCTTCTTCAGAAAAAGCTCCTAATTTTAATAACAAATACAAATTAAAAATAATAATAGCAACAATATTTAATATATTTATATATAATTTTCATTAATTTAAAGGATACGAACAACATGAAATATTGCATCTACAGCCCTAATATGACTAAGAAAGTTATTTCCTAAACCAGCACCAGTAGATGCACCTTTAACCAAACCAGCAATATCAATAACACTAAGATATGCTGGCACCTTAGAAGCTGGTTTATATGATTCACATAACCAATCAAATCGAGTATCTGGTACTGCAACTCGTGCTTCTTCTGGATCTGTATAAATGATTATTATTGTTAATATTTTTCTTTAATTTTAAGATATTCACATAGATGTGTACCAACCAATTGTACAAAATGGATAATTTTCTGCTGCTACAGCACTATTTGTAAGGGCATTGAAAAAGGTTGACTTTCTGTAAAATATATATATATATGTCAAAAATTTTTTTTCTATTATTTTCAGGTGCTCTTAATATATAATATAAAAAAAGTTTTTTTTAATAGGTTAAAAAGTTTTTTTTATAAAAAAAAAATTTTAAATGAAAAGGAGGCGGGCTTTGGGCTCATTACTTATATCTATTATAAGAAATTTATCAAATGCTAAAAAATAAAAGAAAAGAAAGAAAAGAAAAAGTAACATACCCGACATTAGGTAAACCAACAACACCAATCTTCAAATTATTACTTGGCCTACCAAGCAGTATTTTCTCTTCTTTAACTACTTTTTTTGGTGGCATGTTTTTTTTAAAAAGTTTTAAGGTATAACTAAAAGTTCTTAAGATGTTATTATGTTTATTCTTATTTAGTTGAAAAATCAATTTTTTTTTCGCGAAATTACACCATCTCAAATTTAGAACAGAAGCTCTAAAGACCATCCATCATCAGCATAGTAAAGATTCCCTGATTTTGGTAATTTATAGTTGTACAAACCTCGATAATCATTTGTCATATGATTATTAATCTGACCAATAAAACAAATTTATTTACCAAATATTAAAATCCACCAGCAGATTTAAGAAATGTAATCAAGAATATTCAAATATTTAATAATAATAAATATAAATATATATTATAAGAATGGGTCGAATCCAAAATCCAAATATTGTACAAATTAATGAAAGGGATTTTCATGATTTATAACCACTGTTCGAAATTCAATCGGCGGAATCAGCGCGCACTAACCAAATATGGAAATTAACCGCAGATATTTTCTAAAATTAGATTAGTTTATGTAAAGGCGCAGTCGAATTTCGAACACTGTTTATAACCCCATGGCTTCACACATTGTGTTCAATGGGTATTGAACTCACTACCAATTCACATTTGCACAAAAAAACACACAATTACCAACATTAAATTATATGGGACATACTGTAACAAAACCAGATAAAGTGAACATTAGTCTTACTAAAGATTTCAGGGATCAAATTCCATTTATCTTAAGGGTAGAGTGTAGGTAACACGAATTTCACTATGATACTGTTGATAAAAAAAATTACGTAACACTCTGAGTTGTTAGCCTCATACATAAGTATTCCAAAAACTAATTTTTGTGAGATGTTTACTATTGCAAAATCCTTTTTCAGAACCTATCCAATCATATCGTGATAAAAATTTTGATGTCTTGTTAGAAGGTTCTTTTAAAAAAATTTTGTAAAGTCAAAAGTAGTTTTTTCATCACTTATAAAAATTTTCCCATTGCTTATAAAACATATCAAACCTATATATAACAAATATAATAAATAGCCGTAACACACACAATAATAATTGTAATAATATTTTAGAATAAATAAAAGACTAATAATTTGTTAAAATCTTGTCCATTTCTTTGTAATAAATATAAATACTAAAAGAAAATTGCCTGTTTAAGTGATATATATTAGTTCTATTTGTGTAATTTAGATCATTAAAACATTTAAAAATAGAATTTTTTGAAAACAACTATATAGATGAGTTGAGGGATGGTAGTAGAAGTCAATAACAAGATAGCAATATATTTCCACCTACTCTACATACACTATTTGTTCTATATACATATTCTTCGTGGAAGTTATATCAAATTTTCTTTTACTTTAAACAAAAACGTGGGAGCTTCATGTAGTTTTACTTGGTATTTTGTGAAATAATTAATATAATTAATACGTTATTTTGTGAAATATAATTAATATAATTAACTAACATCATAATTTATTTATAAATAAGTAACTTGAGAAAACATGCAGTTCATTCTCTCTATAATGAACCTTCCGTTCCTATATGTGCCTTTTTTCATTATAACGTGTGTTTATTAAGATGTTCGTCATAGAGAGAGAGATTAATTATAAAAAAATGAATCAGGGACAAAAAGGAAGTTTATTATAGAGATTTTACTTAGTGTGTGTTATAGAGAGTGAGCTGTAGCTTGTTTATTTTTTTATTTTTTTGTTTGCTAAAGGATGTCATAGAGTCATAGAAGAAAAGGACAATGTTATATTAAATATTTAATATTAATTATTGGTGTTGTAATTTTCATTCTCTTGTCATCCATTCATTCTTTACAAATAAAATAAAATAATTTTTTCTATATATATATTACTGTTATGTATATGATAATAATAATGTTATTATGACTGACTACCTACACTATTACTGTATCATAGTAAACTTCGTGTTATCAGCCAATCGATAAGTTAATAAAATGTTTCTAATGCTATAGAGATAACGGGAAAAGTGTGATTGTGAGTAGGATCGACCTTAAAATTTCAATAACAACAGAATAGTCAGTTACAGTGGAACTCAAGAAGAAAAAGCAACCAAAAAAGAAAAAAAAATAAAAATAAAGAAAAGAACAAGATGAAGTATTCAAAGAATGAAGAAGCATTAGTATACATATGTTGTATGTGAAAATGAAATTATGTGGATTCGCGATTCACATATGTGAAATTCAAATTTACGTAATATTTCAATTTCACATAATCAAATTACAACTTTTGATAATCATGTTCAAATTAGGACCGGCAGCATATTTATTTATGTGGCGGTCTGATTACATAAAGAACTGCTTGAAGTAACATGAGGCAATAGAAAAGTTTGAGCGAGAATAGGAATTTTATGATATCTCAATTGAGTTCTATTTTTAGAAATAAAAAAATCCGCCCATATGCAACATCATCTATCGTAAGCAAGATAGGAATCTGTTTTAGAAATCAAAAAATCCGCATATGAAATCAATCAATTAACTAACATCTCCCTCCCTATATATAGAAAGAGGGATTTTTTAGACAACTCCTTTCCTTTCGTCATTATTTGACATTAGGCATTTCACAAAATTTCACATATCACAAAATTACATTACATGATATATTCTTTTAAGGATGCCATATTACAAAATATATGATATTGATATGATAATGATAATAATGTTAAATGAAGAAGGCAATCATAATAGGGATATTAGTCGTTATTCAATCTTAATAATCCTTCTGGTTTATATATATTTTGGTTTGGAATTGATGATGAGATAATTATTGGGTAAAAATTATTAGAATATCTATCCTCCAATACTGCAACTATAGATGGGTGTCTAAACTAAATTATTTAGACAATGTTTAAAAATATAAATTAATTTAGACATTTAGACAATCATGGTCTCAATTGTCTAAAATGCTGAAATTGAATTTTGTGGATTTTGTGAATATCCACGTGACTTTTAGTTGTATTTAAAGCAAATCATTACTATCAGTCGCA